GAGTAGGTACATTTATCCAGTTCTAAAATTACATTCAGCCCTTTGATGGCAACCAGGAGGCTGATGTGGCCCCCAGTGAAAATAAGTTTGACACCCCTGCTCTAAAAGAAGAACAGAAGTTTGTAAATCAAAGTGATGAAAAAAATGCATGCTGAGTGGATCAAGTTTTAAATGATTTGTGTTCTCTTAAGATAATACTGATACAGAAAAAGGGGCAATAAAAATTTTAATTTGGGAAATGAAAGAAAAGCAGAAAATGTAGCTTTGGGTAAAAAGGCAAAGAAAAATAAAAGTGAAAGGTAAGTGTCAAAATACAAAAAAAGAGTAAGGCAAGAGGAGATAAATGATAAGAAAGAATGAGAACCTTGTTATTCTCTTTATAAATAATGTAGAGCTTGCTTCTGTATAAACCTCTTTGACTCAGAGATAACTCAGGTTTTCCTCTAAGTTGGACCTATTGAAGATCCTCTCCATGATAATCTTTAGTTAAAGATTTATACACAAAGTACTTGAGCCTTCTCTTGAAACATTTTTAGGGACAGAAAAGGAAGGAATGGTCAAATGAACATTTGTTCTATTAAACAGTAGATTATAAAGCAAAAAAAAATCTCTGAAACAATAGCAAAATAGAGATTTTCCACATGGAGAGGCTACCTAAGACATTAGTGTTCGAATAAAGCGCATAGGGAGTTTGGCTTACCCACACTTGCAGGGCTTCGCCCACTGACTTCCATGTCTTCCTGGCCCATGTGAATGCCCTGCAACACTTGGTGGAACAGCTCAAGCTACAGCTCAGTAGGAAGAAGATCAAGGTCTCCCAGGCCACTGCAGAGCTTCAAGAGTACTGCATGCAGAATGCCTGCAAGGATGTCCTGCTGGTCAGTGTTCCAGCAGGAAGCAATCCCTTCCAGGAGCCCAGAATCATGTGTGTTTTACTCCAAAGACTAGAAAGATGTTCACTAAGGAATGCCTTCAGGCATAATGACTGACTTCCTCCAAGTATCAAAAACATTTTTCCCTAACCAAATGATTTGCAGATATTTCAGGCTTTTCTTGTAACCTAGTCCTATAACCAAAATTCTACAGAAACTGATGAGTTTCAGCTCAAATAGAATAAAACTGGGTGAAGGAGTAGACATTTAAGAGGAGACATTGAAATAATAATGGCCCAGTTTGTTTGGTGAAGTGCTTTATACTCAAGACAAACATACCACCAACTATATCAAAGTGCCCTCTTTCATAAGTGAATCACTAGTGTGTCTATACCTGGAATATTATGTCTGTTTTATTTACTGGGCATTTACATTTCACAAAGAAAAACATTTCTGTTTAATAAAAAATTGAAAATTTGTAATTTGTTATTCCTAAGATTTTTATACCATAACAAAATTTGTTCTTTTCACATAAATTTATTATTTATAAATGGAAGTAAGTCAGTGTAAAATTGGGGGCGGTAGGCTTTATTAATCAAATGTCTTGATTTTTCTAGGTGAGAAGATTGTTTTGGGGTTTTGAGAGGTTTTTAAAAGATTTTATGTATTTATTTAATTATTTTTAGAGAGGGGAAGAGAGAAAGAGAGGAAAAGAAACATCAGCGTATGGTTGCCTCTCATGTGCCCCCTACTGGGGACCTGACCCACAACCCAGGGATGTGCCTTAGACTGGGAATTGAACCAGCAACCCTTTTGTTCATAGACTGGCACTCAGTTCACTGGGCCACACCAGCCATGGCTGTTTTGTTTTTAACACTAATCATGAAAGCATTTCTTACCAAACTTGTTTAATGTCTCTTGTATCAGATTGCACCATTTTGTGTATGAAGCCAATGTGACCTTTGTCTTAAGTTCCTCTACTTGATAGTTACTGTGTTACTAGTGGAAGTGGGGTTCTGGCCGTGTCACAAGAAATGCATTTCAGGAGACTCACAAGGGAGAATGAGGTCTGGTGATAACATTTACTTCTGGTGCCAGATGCAAAATCACAGGGGTTCCCCTGGGTTCCCAGTGTCCCACCTCTGTCAGACTAGACATGGAAAAAGTCCAATCTCGTCTTCATCAGTACCAAAACAAAGGCCAGCATCCAGAGTTTCTGTGTCATATTAAAGATTAGCCCTGTGGAGCCTGCATTGTCTGCCACAGGCACCACAAAGTTACAAGACCCACATGGTTGCTATGGAGAGAACACACATATGAGCAAATGAGGCTAGAGCATATCACTATGAGAGAGAGAGGGAAAGGTTTCATTACCTGGGGTTATATGATCTCCAGCTTGGGAAGGACCAGGGGCTTTTTTAAACTGCCCAGTCAAACTCCCAAGCTTTTGTGGGCTTGTGATGGGTCCACCTCCTAACCAATCTATTTCCTTCCCAGGTTAAACTGACAGGCCTCTATGGTTGCCATCTTGGCTCCCATTGAACTTGTGCTTACCTCCTCCCAAAGTCTGGGCCAGAGGACCAGGAAGATGGAAAAACTGGCCCTTCTTCCCTTTGTGGGAGAGTGGGGGATGTTAATTATCTTGGCAGGGAAACATTGCCATCCTCTGAAGTGTGTGACAGTGTTGTGTGCTGGTAAAGCAAGCTGGATTCTTAATATCTAATTCCTTTTGCTCTTTTCCTTTATTAATATCTAGCTACTAGATATTAATCTAGTACAGTCTAAGAAAAATCAGATTTTTTTCACATAAAAGTCTCAAAGATTGGGAAATCCATGATTTGCCCCTCTGCTCTGCTAACTCCAAATAAAAGAGAACATAAGTCAATAATCTGGATATCTCAGTGAACCGAAATATTGTTTTGTCTTTCAGGGTTTAATACCTCTCTTCACCCAGAGCCAGTTTTCTCATTGTTTGCTTGCAGTGTAATAATGGGTCAAGGTACATCTGAGGTATGTTATTATATTCTAAAAATTATATTTTTATTCCAGCCAAGATGGAGGCATAGGTAGAAACACTGTGCCTCCTCACACAACAAAATTAAGAACAACAAAGATTTAGAAACAAAAACACAACCAGAACAGGCGGAAAATTGAACTGTATGGAAGTCTGACAACCATTCAACTGGATGGGTGAGAGGGAAGGAGTCAGCTGCTGGGGGAGAGGGATCTCAGCAAAAAAAGGCACTGGCAGCCAGACCCAGGAGCCCATGCAGCACGGGGCTGACCATGGTCACATATTTACATGCAGATAAACTAGGCAAAAATGGAAAGCAAGAAAGACCGCGCAACCCAGGGCCCCAGTGATGGAAAATAAAGCTTAAAGGCACTGATTGAAAAGGTGCCATCTTGTGGGAAGGGGCAAAGGGGACTGAAATCTCAGAGAGAGCAGAACAAGCGCCATGGTTCCATCTCTGACTCCACCTCCACATACAGCGTCACAACCCAGCCACTGGGTTGCCCTGCCCTGGTGAACACCCAAGGCTCCACCGCTCATTATGTAACAGGCATGAGCTGACCAAAAATGTGTCAATCAGAAGAACAAATCAAAGCCCCAGAGCCAATACTTTTAAGAGACTAAGAGATAGCCAACCTATCAGATGCACAGTTCAAAACACTGGTGATCAGGATGCTCACAGAACTGGTTGAGCTTGGTCGCAAATTGGATGAAAAAATGAAGGCTACACTAAGTGAAATGAAGCAAAATGCACAGGGAACCCATAGTGATGGGAAGAAAACCGGGATTCAAATCAATGGAGTGGACCAGAAGGAAGAAAAAACATCCAAACAGAAAAGAATGAAGTCATAAGAATTTTTTAAAAAAATGAGGAGAGGCTTAGGAACCTTCAGGACATCTTTAACTGTTTCAACATCTGAATTATAGAGGTACCAGAAGGAGAGGAGGGAGAGCAACAGTGGAAAACTTATTTGAACAAATAATAAAGGAGAACTTCCCCAATCTGGCAAAGGAAATAGACTTCCAGGAAGTCCAGGAAGCTCAGAGAGTCCCAAAGAAGGTGAACCCAAAGAGAAACACATCAAGGCACATCATAACTACATTACCCAAGATGAAAATGATGGAGAGAATTCTAGAAGCAGCGAGAGATAAGGGGACAGTCACCTACAAAGGAGTTCCCATCAGACTGTCAGCGGATTTCTCAAAAGAGACCTTGAAGGCAAGAAGGGGCTGGAAGGAAGTGTTCCAAGTCATGAAATCCAAAGACCTACAACCAAGATTGCTCTATCCAGTAAAGCTTTCATTTAGAATGGAAGGGCAGATAAAGTGCTTCTCAGATAAGGTCAAGTTCAAGGAGTTCATCATCACCAAGTCCTTATTATATGAAATGTTAAAGGGACTTATCTAAGAAAAAGAAAATAAAAAATATGAACAGTGAAAGGACAGCAAACTTACAGTTATTAACAACCACACCTAAAACAAAAGCAAAATAAGCAGACAGCTAAAACAGGAACAGAGCCAGAGAAATGGAGTTCATGTGGAAGCTTAGCAACAAGGGAGTGAGAGGAGGAGAGAGGGGGAGAAGGTACAAAGAATAAGTAGCATAGACGATGAGGAGAAAATAGGGGGAAGGCAAGAGTAGTGTAGGAAATGAAGAAACTAAAGAACTTAATGACACATGGGCATGAACTAAAGATGAGGAATGTGGGGGGAGGGGTGTGCAGGATGGAGGGAAATGAAGAGGGAGAAATGGGACAACTGTAATGGCATAATCAATAAAATATATTTTTTAAATATAAAAAATAAAATTCTATTTTTAGAGAAACATAAGCCAATTGGGAACTGTTCTATGTGTACAGTGGAGAGAGGAATTTCTCTATACAAACTCCTGGACTTGAGTGTAAAGGGATTTTACTCTCCTGTGGATTCTTCTCTCCTTGTCACCAGTAAGCTGAGAGCTTCATGATGTAGAGTGTGTCTGAACTCAAAGTTTTTAAAATAGTAGTCTCAAATGCAAAAACTTGGGAAATAGTGAATTGAGAAAAACAGTTATTGCTGTTCTCTTGTCTACCTCCTGCAAAGGCTGTGCCCTCTCTCCATTTCTGTTCAGCTCTTCATGGGTTCTCTGCCTCTGTGTCACTCAGAGCACAGTAGTAAAAGGCAGCATCTGCCACCTGCACCTGGAGGATGAGCAGTGAAGAAGAGAATCGCTCATATGTCATGTTATAGCGTCCCTGCTGAGAAGGCCTTGAGCCCTTTACAAGGAGTCTTGGCGCACATCCTGGGGAGTGAAGGTACCAGAAGAACTCATAAGCATTGGATATAGAGTGATTGCAGAAGATTTCCACCACAGCTCCCTCAGAAGATACCACGGAGGAAGGCTGAAATACTTGGTCCTTGCTCTCTGCAACTGCACAAAACAGATAAAGAAGGCTGTAAGTTTTATGCTGGCTTGTCTGTGGCCTTTTAGGTATAGTGATGATTAATAAATCTTGCTTCCTTGTTTTTTTTAATTACTCCAAAAATTAAAATAATGGGATGCACTTTTCCAAGACCAGACAGTGAAGGAGCCTACTTACCCTTCCAGAGAGAGCTGAGGAGGAACCCCATCCACACCACTTCCAGGGTGCTGTGCAAAGCCATAGCCATACCACAACTGGTCTCAGCCCTCAGCTGAATGTGTGGTGCTCACCAGCAAGCCAGCTTAAGGCCTCCTGTTTGGCATTTACTTCTCTGTGTTGATGACATCATCAGCCAGAATCTGAACTGCAGAAGAGTGACTACATTTTTCAGGTTGCTTAAGAGTGGCTTCAGCTGTGCTTTGTCCTGAGCACACAGTCTTGAAAGGGAATGTAGCCTTTCAGAGGTCACCACAGTTGTGCACATTTAATCACTAAAGAAGCTTGCTTCCTTCTCTAAAGGTGATAAAGGAAGTCACCTACCTGATGAAAGACTACTTCATTGTTCACAGTAAAGTAACATATTCACACAGAAAGTTAATTCTGAAAGTTAATTCTGAAAATTAAACTTGTGCAAGTTTAATTCACAAGTTCATACTGAACTTGTCACATGTGGCATGATGATATATCAACATGTTAGAAATAGTGATTATGAAATCTTAGTAACTGGTAAATGAAAGATGGATTTTTTAAGGCACAAAAATTACTATGTAAACATATTCATCAAAACTCCTCTCCTTGCATTCAAGTGGTCTCTGGAGTAAGAATAGAAAGAAAATCTCCATTATAATTTTCTGTAACCAAAAGAACCTGGGTCAAGGAGGACCCAAAAGCTGCATTTGGAGACTCTCTTTTGGATGGTACCTATCCTCATTTTGTAGCCTAAGACTGTCCCTTTGTTATTAATGCAGGGCTCTGTGCTTATGCCTCTGGATTTTATTGTTTTATACAGGTTTTCTTGGTATTTTATTTGCAAAAGAAGAGTAAACAAGGTTTGTGGCAATTCAAAGATTGTACAGTAAGGAGGTTTTCATGTACATCACCACCTAGTGGACTACATGGAAACTGATGGAAAATTGTTTCCCCAAGCAGCCTCTGAGTCTTAGCTTCCCACAGCTTGAAGAGATTTCATTCCCTTTGCTTTTGTTCAGACTCTCATTTCATTCCATTTCCATTAGATATTAAGGTTCTCCACAGGAAATAGCTGCCTTCTTAGAAACCTTCTGGTTACCAAAAGATGCTCTTCATTCATGTGAATGGTTATTTAAACACATACTTCCATGGAATGAAATATTTCTTCCTCATCCTAAGATGGTTGCTTGATTCACTTCCTTTCCATTTTCTTCCTTTTTTTCAAATGGTTTAACAAGTCTGGAGAAATTAGTTTCTTCCCTAATCTTTTCTCTTTTTTCCCTGGAATATTCCCTAATTATGATATGATTGCTTAGGTTCAACAGAGAATTTATTTATATTTATAACCCTCAAAGGCTTCCAAAAGATACGAAATTCCAATATGGCTGTAAAATTAGGATAAAAAAAATCAAAGACAAGTGGGCACAAATTTCTTTAGGGAAAGGGCTAATATAGAAACTGTGACTAAATTGAGCTCTGAAATTTCTGACAACTGAAACATAAAAAGAAATACAATTAGACAAATAAGCTCATCAAGTGAACAAGCAGCTTCTTCTTGAAATCAAGTGGCATATAGCTTTAGGTAACTTAAAACTCTTTTTAGATATCTGGTTACATGCCCCTGGTTCAAAGTTTCTACCACTGCAAAATAGTTTAGCATTGCTTCCCCCCACTTACTTCTGCAGCCCCCTAGTGGTGGATTCTTAGGCCACCTCTATCCCCACCTACACAGCAACCAACATAGTCTCATACTTCCCCTTATTGTGAGAACTTCTTTGGAGTATGTACCTGGCAAGAATCGTCTAATAGCAGTATATGTGCATATTCAATTTCACTGATTAAACATTCAAACTAGTGACAGTCATTTACACTTCTACTAGCAGTGCATGAGCATTCCAGCTTCATCAATCCTCATCAACATTTATATTACAAAAATTATGAAACGGTCTAAATTTTACCAATATGCTGAGCATAGAGTCTCATTTTAATTTGTATTATCCAGACTATTAATGAAACTGAGCCATGTGTTTTTCTTCCAACATTATCTATTCAAAGGATGTGCCCAGCTAAGGGTGCCCTAACCTTTCACCTAGAGCTGACCTGGAATCTGTGAAGGAGGAAGTGAAAGCTAAGGCAGAGCTATAAATGGCCTGGCTACGTATTAGAGTGCCCAAGCCTTCACACAAAGCCCACTGGCAAAGGGCATGAATCCAATTGGTTCCAGGCTTAATCTCTGTTCAATCATTAGCTGACTGCTAAGCTAATCAAGCAGAAATGCTCAGAGCCACATGACAAAAATACAGACCTCACAAATTAATTCAGGAAAGTCGCTAAATAAACGGACAGCAAACACAACAAAAAACAGTGATTACAGCAAACCTCAAGGGGATGAAAGAGGTGATTTCCAAAGTTGTCATATTAATATTATTTAAAATGGTTAGTTTTCAACCAAAAAATGATTAATACATGCAACAAAACAAGAAGATGTGCACCATACAGAGAAAAAAAGAGCCAATTTAAAAAAAGCTTGAAAAGGCCACATACTGGACTTAATAAACAAGGATTTTAAATCAGCTATTTTCAGTATGTTCAAAGACCTAAAGTAAACCACATGTAAAGAAATAACAAAAAAGTGTAAGAGTTATGCCATATCAAATAGAGAATATCAATAAAGACATAGAAATTATTACCAACAAAAAAACCCAAAAGTAATGCACTTAAAAGGACTGAAATTATACATAATCTTCTCCTACCACGATGGAATGAAATTAGAAATCAATAAAAGGAGAAACTTTGGGACAGTCACAAATATGTGGAAATCAACACAGTTCTAAATTAAATAATGAATCAAAGAAATTACAAGGAAAACTAGAGAATAATTGGAAAGGGATGAAAACAAAAACAATAAAGTCTCACAACTAAACTTATTCGATGCAGCTAAAACCATACATAGAGGGAAATGCATAGCTGTAAATATGTATCTAATAAAAAGAGAAAATCTCAAATCAATACCTTAATTTTACATTATAAGAAACAAGAAACAGAAGATCACACTAAACTCAAAACAAGGATAAGGAAGGAAATAATGAACATTAAAGTAGAAATAAATAAAATAGAGACTATGAAAAAAAAGAGCAAAAAATTAAGCCAAAATTGGTTCTTTGAAAATATTTTTAGACTTCCGCCAAGATGGAGGCATAGGTGGAGACGTCGTGCTTTCTCACACAACCAAGTTTAGAGACAACTAAATATTAGCAACAGAAAACACAGCCAGAACACAGAAAATTGAACTTTTCGGAAGTCTGATAACAACAAATTCTTCAGCCTGACCGGTAAAAGGGGCAAAACCAGCAGCTGGCAGAGCAGGGTTGCACAGGAAAACTTCGGTCAGACGGACTCGGGCGTGCAGAACCCAGGAGTGGGGTTGGACCTAGTGAGTGACCAAGTGAGCGACCGCGGGGGAAACAGAGAGGGAGCAGGACTGTGGGTTGACTGTGGTAGTGCATTCATGCGCAGATAGACAAGCGAGGGAGTGGGCGATTGGACGGGACCCAGCAGGTCCGTGCGGCAAGCTCCAGCGGAGGGCGGCACCATTTCCCCGCTCTGACCCCGCCTTCACATACAGTGTCATAACCCAGCGACCTGAGTTGCCCTGCCCTGGGGAACCACCTAAGGCTCTGCTCTTCACCCAGCGTGGCCAAACAGCAGAGGGGGTCGCCATTTCCCCACTCTGACCACGCCCCCACATCCAGCGTCACAACCCAGCGACCTGGGAGTCCAAGGCTCAGCTCCTCATACTTAACGGGTGCGAACAGACCAAAAATGACTCAAGAAGATCTCAAAGCCCCAGAGCCTATAAATCTAAGCGATGAAGAAATAGCAAAACTCTCAGATGCACAGTTTAAAACACTGGTGATCAGGATCCTCACAGATCTGGTTGATTATAGCCACAAATTAGACAAACATATGAAGGCGAAACTAATTGAAATGAAGGGAATTGCACAGGAAACCAATAGCGATGAAAAGGAAATTGGGACTCAAATCAATGGAGTGGACCAGAAGAAAGCAAATAATGGCCAAACAGAAAAGAGTGAAGAAGCAAAAATTCAAAAAAATGAGGAGAGTCTTAGGAACCTCCAGGACATCTTTAATGCTCCAAGATCCGAATTATAGGGGTACCAGAAGGGGGAAAGGCACAGCCACCAGTGGAAAACTTATTTGAACAAATAATAAAGGAAAATTTCCCCAATCTGGCAAAGGAAATAGACTTCCAGGAAATCCAGGAAGCTCAGAGAGTCCCAAAGAAGTTGGACCCAAGAAGGAACACACCAAGGCACATCACAATTATATTAGCCAAGATTAAAATGAAGGAGAGAATCCTAGAAGCAGCAAGAGCTAAGGGGACAGTCACCTACAAAGGAGTTCCTATCAGTGGATTTCTCCAAAGAGACCTTACAGGCAAGAAGGGACTGGAAAGAGGTATTCCAAGTCATGAAATCCAAAGACCTACAACCAAGATTGCTCTACCCAGCAAAAATTTCATTTAGAATGGAAGGACAGATAAAGTGCTTCTCAGATAAGGTCAAATTCAAGGAGTTCATCCTCACCAAGCCCTTATTATATGAAGTGTTAAAGGGACTTATCTAAGAAAAAGAAGTTTAAAAAACATGAATAGTGAAAGGACAGCAAACTCACAGTTATAAACAACCACACCTAAAACAAAAGCAAACTAAGAGGATAGCTAGATCAGGAGTGGAAACATAGAAATGAAGATCTCAAGGAGGGTTAGCAACAGGGGAGTGGGAGGAAAAAAAGTGGGGAGAAGGTACAGAAAATAAGTAGCATAGATGATAGGTAGAAAATAGATAGGGGGAGGGCAAGAATAGTATGGGAAATATAGAATCTAAAGAACTTGAGACACATGGTCACAAATTAAAGGGGGGTAATGGTGGGGATGGGAGGGTAGGGTGGAGGGGAATGAAGGAGGGAATAAAATAACTGTAATGGCATAATCAATAAAAAATTAATTAATTTTAAAAAAGAAAATATTTTTAAAAACTGACATACCTTTAGCATGTTGACCAAGAAAAAAAAAGAGAACATTAAAATTATCAAAATCAGCAATGGGAACATTACTACAAACCTTACAGAAATAAAAAAGATTATAAAGGTAATATC